ATGTTAGGTTATTTACCTGAATCAACTATTGTAAGATATTCAGTTCGTCCGTTCGAGTCTCTGACGAAACTCAGGCTTCTAAGGTACGCTTTTCCAGCCTATGTTTTTATCGTCTTGACCAAAAAATGTCATCATAATGAACACAAACTGTTCGCCGCCAAACATCTCACATTATAACTCCATCAAAGAACCAATAACCAATCAAATGTTGTTCTCAAAATAGTCGCACCGCAGGAACGCACATTAAAAATTAGAATTTAAAAAATGATCATTGGAATAGGGCTATGTAAGTGGGATACGGTCTCTGAGTTTATAATCGCTTGCCATGACTTAATTCCATCTCTTTATCCCATTGAGGGCTTTTGTGGGTTTTATTGAGACATGCGCCAAAACACAATAATTCACGAGACCTTTAAGAGTTGTAAAGGTGATTCACAATGTGGGCTAATTTTCATATTTTCGTTGTTGGTATGTTGACATAAGTTTTAATTCAATTCTTGTTAAAAAGTGAATCGATGAAAGAACTGTCAAGAACATCCGCCTTCCCAGAGTAACCCCCATGTAACTGGATCATGTCCAAGTCGTTTCATTTTCACAGTTCCTGCCTAAACGTTCACGACATTTTTCAGCCGTCTTGAAAGGCGCCCTAATCATCCCGGGATAAAACAAAAATCAAACAAGAACAGGAAAAACCTCAGCACTTATTTGCAACTTCATACTCTGGCTCTCTATAGACTAGAAAAAGATCAGTAGGTAAGTTCACTGATTAGGTAAGTTCACTGATTAGGTTGACACGTTTTTCATCCTTTTTGCTGACTGATTGATAACCAAATTTGAAATAGTAAATACTGTTGTGGAAATCAGAATACTCTGTGTGAAGGTTAGAAGTATACAGTTTCGCAAACTCCAATCTAAACTCACCTTCATTCGATCGCGAATTGTAAATATCAGTAATTCTTAGCCTTTAAGAATGTAGAGTGAATCATGTTGTCTCAAGACATACGCATTTCCGTTCGTTAATCGAAGGATCAATTGCCGAAGCACGGGCGTCTTGCACTCTAGTTCACATAACGGGATTTTTTCTTCTGTAACTTGGTCACAAATCATTACATCTGGACTAAAGACTTGAAGACTTGATCGGCGTAACAGTCGAAAGTGTAGGTTATGTACATTCTTAAAAATTAAAGACACGTGCACTCTGAAGATGAAAAGTGTGGCGACATTATCAGGCCACCAAATACTGTTGTGTGACAGTCACACATCTTTCTCAAGAGTGACAAGTTTCAGGAGGATGCGTCTGTCTTTACTCCCTACTCTTGGTTCTTTTCTCACTCTCCGCGAATACGAGGGAAGTTTAAGTTTTTGTTAAAACTACCACGAAATAAGTTATAAAATATACCGATATACCTCTCTCCTTTCGTAAGGTCTATTATGAAATCGTCACCGCGTAATGATCACGAAATATTACAAAATTAGCTTTAAATCGCTAGGAAATAACTAATTTAAGATTTTTCTGTTATACATATATATAGATATATTTATGTACATGTATCTATTTCCCGTTTTCACACTTGTTAACGAAATAAATAGACAAATTACGACGTCTGAGATATACCTCCTTAAAGGAGATACGTCGTTATCGGGGGAGATGGAAATTGTTTTTACCGAGCTGTTGCTCTTTTGAAGGATGAAGACAGCGATGAAAAATATGTGGAAATCTCTAGATCAATTGAAAGTTTGTTGGAAAAAAATTTAAAGGTTTTAAGCTGACACTTTCCTCCACGAACTTCTTGGAGGATGTTGTCAGGAAAAGCAATTTCACGGGAACTCCGGCAGAACTGACTATGGACATATATTCAGATATGCATCGCTCCTTTTGCAACCCATTTGTACCTCATGACTTATCGTCGCAGAAGAAAGGGCTCAGTTTTGAGCCGATTATCAGCGCTGGTTCGTTCTCATTGATCACAACAAAAAAAGCAATGTAGGTGTTTGATCCCTTTAATGTATCACGATAATAATTAATGCTCAAGCACACCGTTTCAATCTCCAGCTGCCTCGAGGTAGCTGTTGTAGCGCTCTTTTGTGTTAGCAAGCCAAGACGAAAGCTAGAAGTTGACTAAACGCACGTCAAAGCTGCAAAGGCTTTGTTGAGTTATTTCTTAGCGATTTATAGCTCACATTTGTAAGTTTTAAGACCATTCTAGGGAAATGTTAATCGGTGGATTTGTAATGATACTAGGAATAAGGTGGAGTCCAATTCGCTCTGTAATCATACGAGTGACTAACAAAATTGGACGACCGCGAAGCGGAAGTCCAGTTTGTTAATCACGAGTATGATTACAGACAGAATTGGACGACAAGAAGTCCTGTTAAAAAATTGATCATAACTGTTTCAATTTCCGAAAACAACAAATACATTTAGGTTAAATATCTCCGGTAACGACAATGTCTAAAGTAAAAAAATTTCTCCATCTTGGAAATTCCTCAATTTTTTTTAGGATAAGTAGTTGTTGCTATGGTTATTTTGTTTAATTATGTGATTGGTGGATTTGGCTGAGTGGACTTGGTATGATTGACTACTTCAACTGTTCGATTACAGGTGTCCGATTACGGCCAACTGTCCGATTACGCTGTCCGATTACAGCTGTATAGAACGATTAGTAAAAAATAAAGCAGTTAATGCACCAATCACATTTAAGGAAATTGTAATGAATATGATTATGCTACATGTTTCATGATTGTTTAAGTAAAAACTTACGCTTCCCTTTTTTCAACATCACCCAAATCCATTTCTAACAAAACAGTGGCGAAAAAGTGCTAATCTCTATCCAAAATCGTCTTTTTGAGACGTCGAAACAACCTTTCGTCATACGTTACTTTCTAGCGAGTTGCAATATTTGCCCCGTGGCGATCCCAGAAATCTTTGCGCAAACACAAGGATCCGATCCCTGGAAACTCATTCATTAGCTAATCTGATCCGACGATGTTTACGACCATTTAGGTGCCGGCCCGCGGAGGTGCTTCAGTAAAATAATTTTTCTTATTTTTCAAAGAGAAGAAGAGAGGAAATTTTAAAGGAAATCTTTAACCCTTTACACCCTCACATCAGTATGCATATTCTCCATACTGTTCCCCATACATTCCTTAAGGTGCTGACAAGAAGAATTCGTGTAACAATCAATAGCTTCTTTTGCTGCTGATAATTTTCCTTATTCTTCTAACCTTACTGAATGATTCAGGCGTGATATTGTAAGGAAAAATTAGATGATAGTCACTCTTGGGGGCTAAGGGGTTAAACAAGCATTGATTAGTCGTTGAGCCAGTGAAGTCCTGGATGTGAATCCTGCTGGTTATAGGTGCTCCTGCTAGTGAAGATATCCATCTTTTCTAAGCAGAGGAAAAAATTATCTTCCAGGGAAAGACCCACTTGTAGTTAAACATCCGGGCTGAAAACGGTATTCTTTATAAATACGTCCCGTTATTCCTATCTCTTCTTGTCATTGTACAATCCCTTTTCAGAACCTGAGTCTGAGCATGTGGTCAGGTACCATGGAAAGTAAAATACTTCATCAGCGAGAGTGTGGTAGTATTGTATCGCAATGAAATAAATTACGTTTAGCCAGCAGCTTGTTTGAAGACGTTTGCCCTTTTCTCAACTTACGAACCTCTCTAATACAAGGCTTCCCTTAGGATATAGACCCATGTAAAGACCTCTTTACGACTTCACACAAGCCCCAGTTAAAAACTGGTATTTTACGGTGCTCCAACGAAACTCGTTGTATTCAGCCGTTGCTTAAACGGATATTTTTTTTTTCAAAAGAAAAACTCCAAAAGATTCTATTTGGATTTCTTTGCCTTAAGTACTTTTTATACACTGGCGCGACTACTATGTCAGAATATTGATTAAGTTTGTTGGTATAATCATTAGTATTGTATCGCAATGAAATAAATTACGTTTAGCCAGCAGCTTGTTTGAAAACGTTTGCCCTTTTCTCAACTTACGAACCTCTCTAATACAAGGCTTCCCTTAGGTTATAGACCCATGTACAGACCTCTTTACGACCTCATACAAGCCCCAGTTAAAAACTGGTATTTTACGGTGCTCCAACGAAACTCGTTGTATTCAGCCGTTGCTTAAACGGATATTTTTTTTTCAAAAGAAAAACTCCAAAAGATTCTATTTGGATTTCTTTGCCTTAAGTAATTTTTATACACTGGCGCGACTACTATGTCAGAATATTGATTAAGTTTGTTGGTATAATTATTAGCTGCCAAGTTACATACATACAAAGCCAAACTCTATTTTTTCAGTTGCCCCAGAGAAATGACCACTAATATTATGCAAGTGTCCATCTTAAATTGCTTAAAAAGAGAATTGGGAAAATTCAATAAAAGTGAAAGAAATTATGAAAACAACTTCCAATCATCAGTTTTACGTATCTCACTTTTTAAGAACAAAGGTTTTTGTAGATAATATTGTTTGTTTTGCTTTAGATCATCATAATTTTCTTGAAACACATAAATTGTATTTATAATCACAAGGTTCAATTTTGCTAAAACGGGCTCAATTGATAAGAGGCGAATTTTTTTTTTCGGAAACCATCGGAGAAGACAATCTGCTTGTAAAGCAAACATCTTCAATACACCAAAATCGATTTGCACAAATTGGTTCTTCACAACCCATTGTTATTTCTCTCAGGTGAACAATTACCCTATCGCATACTGTCATTTTTGCACAAAAAGACTTTTAGAGGCTTGTTGGAGTACATGTAAACAAACCTAACGCTGAAAAAACCTTCTTGTCTTCAACAAACATGAAAATCCATTAAGATTCGTTTCATTTTCTTTTGGAATCTGCATTGAATGGCTCGATCTCTTGCGTCACGCAGGTGATGCAAACACACTTGCGCCTGGCGTTTCTCGGTCTTTTGAAAAAATAATTTGTTCTGCGGCTGACTTCAAACATTCATTTTCTTTTTTTCAGTCTGGCTGGCAGAATGGCAATTCGCTGGCTTGCTGTTCTGTGCGCTTGGGCGCTTATAGCGCAATTTGCTCTTTCATTGCCCGCGGAAGAATACCCTGAAGAATTTGAACTCGATGAACCCGAGGGTAAGAAGTAGATTTTTTAAGCTTAAAATGATGCCTTCGAATCTCTTCAAACGATTTGCAAATAAACTGAATGAACGAAGGAACTCTGCACTTGTACACCTATATCAGTCACACACTGACTAGAGGGCAATTAATGTTTTGTAACATAAGTACCTCTCTTGCAACTCCATACTGTGCTTCAGAAAAGTTGTTGAGTCAACTGAGTTTGGTAGGAAGTTGAATAGATGGAACCAACTGGTTCGTGAGATGAAAAATATTGGTTTTTGTTCTGGGATATCCCAGAAGATACGCTGGCTTTTACTTTTACGTTAGTATTTTACTCAGATGATTTACATTAAGAGCCTGAAAATCAAGGAAACTCAACCTTGATCTGATACAAGATTAACTCACCTTCAGACACTTAAAATTGAAAGTTTCGAATTATTCAATGACAAAAGGCAAAAAATGTGTTATACTGTTACTCTGTCTTCTTAATCTAACAACTATATTTTTCTATACTTTTCTTCGTGAAACAGCTCCAGAAGAAGAAGTTAAGATCAGGCAAAGGAGACAAAGTAAGAAAGTTAACCAGCTTTCCTCCTTTCATTGAGTTATCTACGATTTTGACCTATTTTCCCGAAAGTTAGCCTCTTAAACCTAAGCTACACCACTATGGGTTTCTCTAATTGGTATTTTCTCATAAATTTCGCTTTAAACTTTGAACAAAGTGGAATGAAAGGATCTCTAATCTTACAATTCTCGAATTCATCACGAAATATTGTCCAATTTTGGGCGCATTCAGAGTCATTGCAGCTGAGTACATAGAAACGCGAGGATCTTGATCGACGAATAAAATCCCTAAAAGGGTTTATTCTAACTTCGTACATCCTATTTTGCGAAAGTAATCATAGAGTGTATAACTTCCTTAGGTGGAAAGCTTGTAATGAGTTGGTTTTTTTCTCGGAGGGCACGGTAACGAATCCTGCAGTCTGATTGCTTCTTAGTGAAGTCCGGATTTTCTACCGCTACCCGCGGCCGCGTAATTACAGCCCTAAATCATTAAGTTTTAGAAAAAAAAGTAAAAAATGTTATTCTCCAGCCTATATCGGTTCATATTGGGAAACACTGTGCCCGAGGTCTTGAGTACTGGTAACGACGGTACTCAAGACCTCGGGCACAGTTGTTCCCAAAACGGACCTCTAGGCTGGTGAATAACATAATATTACATATATCCCTACCTTAAATCTCTTGCTGCAGCCTTATTTCACGGTAGTGGACTTATTTTATTCAGTGTTACTCTCCACGGTCACATTTTACATTTTTGTTTTTTCTAAAGAATATTGCGAACACATTTTGATTCCATAAAATTTGTTTCCTTTTAGTGCTAGCTTTTTTTTTTAGAGTGTGATTGCACAATTGTCTCGCAAGGACGTAGTTTACTTCTTTCAGAGTCGACCATTTCGATCTGAAGTCAAACGAGGAGCCCATAAAAACATTCTTAAACGCTTTAACCCCCAGAAGTGAGGTGAAGTTCTCCCAAAAGTTTCAAAATTTTCAGTCCGAGGCCTTTATCTTGATACAACACCAACTTATCGTTATTGATTTACAGGGAAAATTATAATGGGGTGAGTTACAAACACATTCCTGGCAATTAATGGTGGAGGGTTAACGGGATTTGAACCGTTGTATGTTCTTTATAATAAACTGCGTCGCCATACTTCTATGTTCCGAATATAAACTACAATATGACGGAAAAGATCTTGAAAACATTTCATTACCTCCATCTTTCGGTTTAAATGAAGAATTTTTGGGAAAGGTCTTACTCGACGTTTTCTGGAAATTTGTCTTGACAGTTACTATATCGCCAACTGCGTATCATCCCTTTTTGTGACTAACTACAATGTTCTTCCGCTCCTCTGACATTCACATACGCATTCTATTTTCAGCTTAAAAGTACAGTAAAATACATCTACTTCTACGCTCTTTCCAGCTTGCTTCTGTGTAATGGTTAAAAAAATGGGTAGAATAAAGTTGCTTTCCATTTATTAGGTGCCTGCGAGGACCAACTTAATTACTGCTCTCAATGGCCAGACAAATACTGTCAAGACTATAGAGATTACATGAAAAAGAACTGTCCAAGAAAATGCGGATATTGTGGTAAGTATAAACAGTTATCGTGAATAAATGTTTCCAAAGTGTTTCTAAACTTCGAGCATTCCCCACCTTCCTTGCGTAATCCTTGGATGAATCAATTTGAATAGGTGAAAAAAAATATCTTTGCGTTTCCCGACTCGTTTCGCAGAAGGTAGTTCATAACACATGAAGTCACCTCGCTCCCTAGCTGAGTAACCTCGCCCAAAGGGAAGTCGTGTCGACCACAAGTGTGACACGTACATGTACATCACATAACATTTTATCAAGATACCAAACGACAACACAGCACCACGTAAAAGCCTGTGATTTTTGTGATACTATTACCAACGCGTACAGACCGACTGTATGAGTGGAGAGGGACTCCAAAAAAGAGTCATTTCTCTCGCCTCACCCCTCTTAAGTAGTAGTGAAAAAAGGATTATTTGCAATTTAATAGCTTTTGGATATGATTGGGCATCATTAAGCTTTTCAGCTGTTTTACTAAAGTCGTTTCTAACTAAACTGTGTATCTACGAAAAATTTTTTTCAGTTTTTTTCTCCTTTTACCTAATGTGTGTAATGCTAAACTTTAGAATCAAGAAAAATATGAATAAGATGGGTCTTCTCAGACTTCTTAATTGTAAATGTCATTTAATGTTGATTCAAGCTTTCAAATTACCTAACTATAGTTTTTTTTTAATCGCAATCCCTTACAACCCATTAGTTGAAGGCTGTTAATTAACTAATTTAGGTTTACTTTCATTATTTCACTTGAACAGGTGGCCCAACTAAACCTCCAGGTAACTAAATCTCACTTTACAGAAGTTTCTTTGTTTGTTACTTGTCTTAAATCAGAGGCGAGTTCGTAATAACTGAATCCAAAGTTCTCAAAAAAATATTCCAAGACAAAGCCATGCAGCAATTAAATAGCGCTATATTTCATAAGCTTATTGACCAGTCAGAGAGCTGGACAGTGCAGCTTTCTGATACAAACACTTTTTTTTAAAGAAACACACAGCGCAAATGAAACTTTTATACATCCGTTGATTCTCCTTGATCCCATATTCATCCCTAAACGTATCTTTGAAACTCAGAATCAAAATTTTGGTTTTCACCAACGGAAGTAATTTTAACGAGAGGAAAACTTAAGTGTTATGGAAGAGCTCGTTAACTTTTGTAATTTTTTGGGCTATTCCTGCATGCTTCAAGTTGTGCTTTAAGTTAGACAGATATTTGATATTTAGCATTTCTTTTTCACAGCTTGTGAAGACAAAAGTCAGTATTGTTCAGGCTGGAAAAGTAGCGGGTTTTGTGATCAATCAAGCCAGTGGCATAACTACATGAAGAACAACTGCGGAAAGACGTGTGGCTTTTGCGGAGGAGGAGGAGGAGGAGGAGGAGGAGAAGGAGGCGGTGGTGGCGGCGGCGGCGGCGGCAGCGGTGGCGGCGGCGGCGGCGGCGGCGGTGGTGGTGGCGGCGGTGGAGGAGGAGGCGGTTCGGTTTGTAGTGGTTTGTATAAAAGTCGTCATTACCAGTCTCCTAAACACAGTTCCTTCATTAGAATTTATTTCCGTTTTTCCTGTTTATTTTAAGTTAATGTGAACTGCCAAAAGGCTTTATTTGGTGAGGTGTAGCTCGTGGCAGCTACGGTATTACCACAGAGATTAACCTTTGACCTTTCGTGCGTAACATTTGTCCAACAGGTTCGATTGTATGGCGTATTCAATTAGAAACACCTTACCTTGTTTAGTTTCAAGTTTTCTTTAAAACCGTTTCCATTTCCTGGACGTTAAATTCATATGTAGTTCACAGCCTATAACCCTTTAAGACTTTTTAGTCTGTAGAACATCCCCTCACCAGTAAAAAAGTCATCCTGTATGCTTTTTGCACTCGGAACTGATACTGTGCAGCTGTTTGCTTCAGTATCAGTGACCCAATTCCTTGTGTCTTCTTTCGCAGTGAGCAATGCCAGTGATAAAGTGAAAAAATGTACTTTTGATGATAGTATGTGTGACTGGCATAATGTTCCGTTTGATGACGACACGGACTTTGTCATCAAAAGCAGCATCTCTGGTGGACCGAGCTCTGGAGCTGGGGGGAGTGGTAAGTGGTTACCAGAAAGATGATATCAGTACAAATTTGTCTTGTCAGGCGTTTTCATCAAAATTATAAAAAAACTATAACTATCAACGGTTTAGTTTTAAGTTTTTACGTACAAGTTATTTTCCTTCGACGTTTTGTTGTTACTGAATTAATAATCTCTTCAGACAATACAACTTTTCAATAAAACCTGGCTCTAGAAGCAGCAAAACCTCATAAGGTTCACCTTTGTTATTTGTTTTTTCCCGCAAAAAGTGATTGCGACTTCTCTTTAACATTGCATAAGACATTTTTGTCACTGGTTTTACTGCTGTATTATTGGAACTTTTAACTTTACGTCCTATAACCTTTTTGTCTTGTTTCAAATTTTTTCCCGCTTTTTAATGAAATGGTAACAGGTCCTCGTATTATCCAATACTGTGAACGTCCTCTGTATCATTTTATCCCTCGGTTAGTATACGTGCGCTGTGATTGGTCAATCTAGCGGGCCGTATATCACTGTACGGCTCGCTAAATTCGAAAGTTTGTTCGAATTGAACTCTTCCCCTTCCCCCATTTAAACTCAGAGATATAATAAATATCTTGCTAACTTTCTTTTCTTGTTCCGCCCTGTAAGTTACGGAACCCCGTCTTTTCCCGCTCGGAAAGGCTTCGCGCTCGGGCAATAAATCCGTGCGGAAAAACTCGGTCTGTAACTTACAGTACGGACCTTGAACTCAAACAGTAAGTGGTTTTTATAAAATCGAATTTTCGCCTCACCGTCCCGTCCCTCCATTGTGTTGTGTTATCAAACCATAATTTACATTACTAATTTACACTGACGGCGAAAACGAGTAACAGCGAGAGTCAAGCATTGGTAGTAGTTCAAACGATAACGACATCCTTGAAAAGAATAACTCCATTGGAACATTGGAATTTTCTATGGTTTGTCGTTTTAAATCTGATCCGTCAAAATAAGATTTGAATATAATTAAAATGAAAAAGAGAAGGCGGATTTCAAAGAGATGACTAGTTACTATCATTTTATTATCCAAGGTGAGAAACTTGTAGCAACGCTGTAAAATAATTCGCCTTTCAGGGAAATTTCTCGTGACTGAGACAAGTAATGGCAAGGCGCAACTTCTGATCCCGTTTGAGTTGGTCCTCGGCAGTCACAACGCAGATCACGGCACGATGTGTATCAGGTTTAACTATTACATCACTAGGTTAGTCGCGACTAATGAGTCAATTCAATTTCCTTTTCACAATAAGAATTTCTCAAAAGCTTGAAAAAAAAAAAAAAAAAAAAAAAAAACTTACAACAACGTTCAAGATGGTAGCTGTCATGTTTATCCACTATCTGAAGTCATACGCTTACGCCCCACCGGAAGAATGCCTTCCCAATAGTTTAGTCTTCTTCCCTTCCGCTCACTACACCTTCCCATCATCCTCTCCTCCCTTTCTGTCCCATCTCTCGCTGTCTGCCACCTACTCCGTTATTAACCCATCCTATCTCTTGTAATATTTACTAGGCCAAGAACTTTCGATTAAGGTCAACTTTTTCTAAGCCGCACTTTCCCCTTAAATATGCTGTTTATCATAGATGCCCCATTTTGGACACATTGGCAATTACATAATGATTTTTTAAGGCTGTGTATCTTATCTATTCCACCACAGGGGGTCACTGACGTTGTATAAGATCGAGAATAGAAAGGGTTCAAGAAAGACATCTCTAGCAGCTATTAGTAATCAAGGAAATCAAGGCGTGTGGAAATGCGAGAAAGTCAGAGTAGAAGTCAGTGTGCATCGACAGGTGAGTCCCACGAGAACCAGTACCAGTTGAATCTTTTATCTCTCTATTGTCAACATTTTGAACAACGCTCACACATTATTGGCAACTCCGTTATTCTGACCCATTTCCCTTTTTACTTGAATACGCTGGCTGATAGGCAGTGAACAGAAACCGCTATTTTGTGCTTGTCTAACTAAGCTTACTGGCCTGTCTACCGTCTTACCCACCCATCTACATACCCTACCCTTTCTTGCGGACGCTATCTAACAAACCACCTTCAGAGCGCCCCCCTTTACTTACCCACCTATAATTAGCCTTGGAAAGCTCTACTACTTTTTGAATTTTTTGATTTCCTTTCTCCCCCAATTTAGTGTTTACTCAAAATGGTCACTAATTGGCTAATTTCTTGCAACATTGTTTGGGGAGTGGACTTTTTCATAATATCGAGATGTTTTATATTACTTATGTTTATTATGTTGATTGAATGAGAGGGGAGGGGTGTTAACTTCTTTTGTCAATCATTGAACCTACCTACCTATCCACCAGTCTTCTACCCTCCATATATACTTACTTACCGACCCACTAATTTCATTCCTTCCTACAAAACTACACAACTTATCAAGCTTGAAGAGGCCTGCCAATGAAGTTCATTTTCTCATGTCGATAAAAGTCCGATATTGCTTACGTTTTGCTTTACTTCGCTCTGTGCTTGGTCCAGAAAACTCGCGACACCCCACCAACCGATCAGATGCAAAACTAATATCAATAACGACTCGTTTTCATGCGCTGGCAGTTTTCTTGCTTCTATTTTGGCCATTACGATCACTTTGGTTTTGGTTTTACGAAATTATTACTACAACTGTACTATAAATAATGGTAGTAGGAACGAGTGGAGTCCAATTCGGTCTGTGATCATACGAGTGATTTACAAAATCGGACGACTGCGAAACGGGAGTCCGATTTGTTAATCACGAGTGTGATTACAGACAGAATTGGACGACACGAAGTCCTGTTACCAATTAATCAAAACTATGACAACATTTGAGAAAGAAACTAGACATCGGTTGTACATTTTCATAAAAAATCAACAGTTAGTCGGCGAAATGTGAGACAACAGCGTGTGCAAATGACGCGTTCTGTCCACTTGAACAGGTATGAAGCGTTAACTTTCCCTTTAACGGTCCATTTGACACTGTCTAATGATATGCATGACGCGTACACTGTCCTATTAGTGCTCAAATCGGGCTGGTGATAACCAATCACGTTCGAGAATTTTGTTATGGTTTTGATTAATATTATGAATAAAATATTGTGGTCATACAAAAAACACAATTTACCACGACTTTCATCACTACCTTAGTTACCTAATGATTTAGCGAGTTCTCACTTATTTTTCTTACCCTTTTTCTATTATTTATCAGCTGTTGTTTGAGGCAAATGCCTCTGGCCAAGTGGTTGCCATTGATGATATCAGTTTCACCAATAGCTGCTAGGTAAGAGCTCACTTCGGTAAAATATTGAGACATTTACGTGGACTTTTGATTCGTAAGTCTTAACAAGGGTCACATAAAGGAGCCTGGTTGGAATCATAGCTTTTCTCTTTTGTTGTGCGCTGTCTTGTTGCATCAAATGTGAAGTGTTTTTGAACCGACTGTTAAAAGAGTGGATCTTCACTATCAAGTTCCGCCTAACAAGCCAACGTTTAAATCGGAGGCGTCATCCCACCGGAGGCAGTTTGGCCGAGTGGTTAAGACGCTCGGCTTGTAATCTGGTGGTATCAGCTGAGTTTTGTGATTTCGAAATTTGTGTAATAAATTGGTGTTTGGACTTCCTATCGTACAATTTTGGTCTAACAGTTGTGATTTCAAATCAAACTCGTGCGATTTTGAAATCACGCAAATGATTTCACACCAAAGGGTACTGCCCTCATTTCAATTACCATTATGAGAGGGTCTCAATGGGCTTATCCGATCGTCGTAAAACGGCCAAAAAAATTAGCCGTTAAGCGTAAAAAATTGGCAAATTTTAACCGGTAGTCGTAAAAAAGATAACAGTCAAAAATCTTCCGGTGGCAACGATGGAATTGAATTAAACGTTTAAGCCGTAAATTCGACAAGATTTTAACCGTTAGTCGTAAAAGCCATCACCCCATTGAGACCCTCTTGTGAATCATGGGGCACCACAAACAATTTTCTCATGGAATGAAATTATATTGGTGCACTCCCTCACTCTGGGTTAACTCTTTTCTTGTTCTCCCTTTTTTTTTCCCACAGAAACAAATACGAGACAACTACAAGCAAGAAGTACTTTAGATTGGTGAATGAAAATAAAGTACTGTAAAAATGAGTGACCGTGAATTTCTTATGCAGCCGGACACAATGTGCTGCTTATATTCCCACTTACTTAACATCCTAAAGCTGACGTTTCAAGCTTAGACCTTCGGGAGAGCGAATTCCCCCAATTCTTCTATTCACTGTGACGAAGGGCTAGAGCCCAAAACGTCAGCTTTAGGTGGCCAATTTACATTATCAACACAGTTTATGAAATCAAATTCTCTCGTAATACCTCCAACCGATATAGCAACACAGTTTCTTTAGAAACTTACCCCCTTTCTTCATGTGTCGTATAGTTTACCAAATTGGTAACTCGTATACTTACGGCAAAACATCTTTCTTTTTCAATGAAATTATAATTGATGCCATGGACATACAAATTTCTTATTCTTGCAAAAACGTTTGACTGTGCGAGGTTGCTAAGTCTCTTTGAAACACTGGCCTCTATGTCCACGAGCGCGTGTATAAAACTAACTACTTGATTAATTTGGATGTACTTTAAATGACAGAAAAAAAAAGAATTCGATTATTCACCTGCAATGATTCACTCTAGCTACTTTTGAATGTTGCTGTAGGAAACTGCGATTCACGATTTTCCATGGTTGCGGTAGATATCGTTTTTCGATTATGATCGTCGATAGAGATTGACCTACCAACGTCGTCAATGCCGCGCTGCTTTTATTCACCAAAGGGAATCAAGAGTGAGTGAGTCAAAAGAAAGAGATTCGTTTGCTGGAAACCAGCTAACAAGTTCTCACAACTTCTTAAACCTTAAATTCCCAAGAGTGACCAAGAAAGAATTTCTCCTTACAATATCGATACAAGTTCAAGAAGACAAGTGATGAGAATACAGAAAATACAAGTATTTAATAGGGAATTATTTGCTGGTCCAATACCAAACTCCCCAAAGTAACATCATAAGGATTGTATGGCAGACAGTAAGGAGAATTATAGAGAGATCATGGAAGTGAAAGGGTCAAAGAAAGGACGCTGCTCTTTACTCCACCAAAATACAAATCCGATACCTTTGACGCTGCTCACAAGGTTTTCAAAGGAGTGTTAATTTTAGGCGTATACAGGGCCCCTCTGGAAAACAGCCTTGTAACTGAGTGGACCACCCTGTTTTAAATAACGTTCACTTTCACTTTTTAATTTGTTTCTAATCAAAATCGACGATGAGCATCGCTTGTATGGTCGAACCACAACTGAAACTTACAACAACGTTTCATCTTCATACCATAATGTAATTGTTAGCACTGACATAGTCCTTGTGAGGGCAAGTGTGGAAGGCATTGAAACTAAGCTAAGCTGTCAAATGAAGGTGGCCCTTGAAGTTCTGGCTATGTCATTAGTACTGAACACCAATCTGTAACAAACCCAATGGATAGAAAATGTTATAATACTAGAAAATGAAATAATAGTAGAATGATAATTTCTTATTCAATTGTTTACCGTACGATATGAAGGAACATTTAACTTATTGCTCAGTCCCATATTTCCGCGCCCCTACGGAGCTCGGAAAAATGCAATAAAAATATCGGCGCGCTAAATAAGCTGTATTTATTTCGTTATCCAAGTTCTGAAATATAATTCATTTAGAAAATAAGAGAATTATTAGTGTCGATTTGAATTCATGTAAATTCATCAAAATTATCCGGTCATCGGTGTGGGGAAAGGAATATTACTGAACACCAGATGTCAGTTTTCACCATTGGCCGTTTTTAAATTAAGGACGCATTACCCGTCTGAACGAACTTCGGCAAACATTTGAAGTTCGTCTGGTTATGCGTGTCTAATAAAAAAACAGGCACAAAACGCGTAATGTATCGAAATGAACTGAACTATACTAGGTGGTGTGTTGAACGACGCAGCACCAAAGATAGTTCGTCCTGAGCGCATAATACGTCTCTGAGTGTAATGACAGACAACAGACAAAGAACGTTTGAACATGAGTTAAGGTGACGGTTTCATGCGATTTGGTTCTATGTGGATAAGGTCTTTCATTTCACTCTGTATAAATTCAAACGTATTTCGAGACACCCTAAACCTTTCTTAACCGCCGCCTGGTTAGCTCAGGTAATAGAGAGCCGGACTGTCGTGCAAATGATCTTAGGCTCAAGTCTCAGACCGGACCAACACTCAGGGTCTTGAAATAACTGAGGAGAATATGCTGCCTTTGCAATAACATGGTTAGACGTTTTAGTCTTCTCGGATGAGGAGGAGAAACTGGATCTACTCATTACTGGTAAGCTGAAGACGTTAAAGAATCCGCACACTTTTCGTAAAGCCGGTAGGGAACGTAGCTCCAGGCGTTTTGGTCTGGCCCTGACTTTGAAATTGGGGGTAACTGCAATATAATCCTTCAGAAATTGTTAACTACTCTATGCAGTCTGGCCAAAGAGTTGTAAAGCGCCATAAGCTAATGGATATGGCGCTATAGAAATCCGCAATTAATTGACTATTGAATTCCTTTTAACAGTTTCAGTTCTCAACTCATTGGGACCTCGCATGTGTCCGTTGCTTTTTTTTCGCGATTGCTCACATAAGAGCGGGTTCTGAATCTTAAATTTGGAACTCTATCTATCTAAGAAATGATCTATATTCACACAGGGTACCGGTACTAGTCTTAGTTGAGTGTTATTTATCCTAGTGAGTCCTCGCCAACCATCCTTAAAAAGCCAAGTTAATCGTTTTTAATCAACAGATGCTGAGCTTGGG